ACTAAGAAGTGAGGCTTATGCAGGGTGGACAAATTTATTGATAGTCTGTTCGGCCAGATGGTTTTATTGTGATCTGGCACAAATTTTATTGTCAAGGGCAGTAGTATCACACAAGGACTTCTTCATTTATTGAAAATACTTCTTGAGAAAGGCGGCATTCCAAGGGTATTGAAGGGGGATACCACTTGGATCTTCGATCGGTATGTAGTATTGGATATTACTTGGGTTACCTTATAAGGTCCCTCCCACTTTGGTTGTAGTGGTCCGGGGTTGGCTCCAGTTACCCTTTTCAGAACGAGGTCTCCGACTCGGTATGGGCAGGGTTTGAACTTAGCGTTGACATAACTTTCGGTCCGCCTTTTGTAAGCAACGTTTTTTACCTCGGCTCTCGTACGCAGTTCTTCAATCATGTCAAGCTCAGTTCTTAAGTTTTCCGCATTTGAGTCTTCTGAAAAGTGTCTAACTCGATACGTCGGGGATTCGAGTTCAATGGGAACCATGGCTTTAGCACCATAAGTTAATGAAAATGAGGTCTCTCCAGTTGAATTCCGAGATGTTGTGCGATATGCCCAAAGGACGTAGGGCAACTCCTCGGGCCAAGCTCCTTTGGTTGTGTTGAGTCGAGTTTTTAGTCCATTCTTGATAATCTTGTTCACGGCTTACACTTTTCCATTATTAGCTTGGGGATGATACGATGAAGAAAAGAAATGTTTTACGCCATAATCTTCACAAAACACATCGAACCTCTTGCCTTCAAACTGTAGTCCGTTGTCGGTTATGATAGAATTTGGAACTCCAAAGCGGCAGATAATGGATTTCCAAACGAAGTCGATCATTTTCTGTTCAGTTATAGTAGCTAAGGGTGCAGCTTCCACCCATTTGGTAAAGTAATCAACTGCAACAATGGCAAATTTCACGTTCCCTTTTCCAGTTGGTAGGGGACCGATAAAGTCGATTCCCCATTTTGCAAAAGGCCATGGGATGTAGACGGACTTCAGTGATTTATGATGTTGATTGACATTAAGGGAAAACACTTGACATTTATAACATTTCGCACCCATTCAGCAGCGTCCGACCTCAGGGTCGGCCAGTAATATCCTTGGCGTAATATCTTGTATGATAAGGCTTGTGCTCCATGATGACTCGCACACACACCTTCGTGAACTTCTTCCAGAACACGTCGGGATTCTTCCATGGTTAGGCAACATAGTAAAGGAGTCAAAAATCCTTGTTTGCATAAGACTTTGTTGTCTAAGGTAAACCGAGTTGCACGAACGCGATTTTGAATCATCTGGTAGGGCCCCGGTTTGTAAGTAGGTAATTATGGGGTCCATCCATGTCTGATTTTTGGTTGAAGAGGTGACATCGGTCATCAAGACGTCAGTGACCACGGTCGAATGAGTGGTCTGTTGGCTTATTTGCACAAACTCAACGTTGCTCAAGTCGGTCGAGGACGACAATCGAGATAAGGCACTGCTTTCACGTTTGATGCGCGTGGGATATGCTCCAAGAAGGTTTTGAATTTTCATAACTTCTTCTAGACTAACTCCAGATAAGGGATCAATCGAGGTTCTTTAACTTCAAATGTCTCGTTGATCTGATTAACAAGTAACTGAGAATCAGAGAATATCCGAAGTGAAGGAATGTTCATAGATTCGGTGAACTGTAATCTCGATATCAAAGCTTTATACGCAACTTCATTATTAGTGACATGAAAGTTAAAAGCGACCGAGTAGCAAAATAATTGATCATTGGGATCAACCAGGACGATACCTCCACCTGCCCTCGAGGAAGTAGATGAGCCATCAACGTATAGAGTCCACAATTGATCTTCAGGTGTTATTTCAATCGTCGGGGTGAACTTGGCGACGAAGTCGGATAGCACTTGGGCTTTAATCGCAGTTCTCAGTTTATACTGAATGTCGAATTGTCTGAATTCTATGGCCCAGTTAATTAGTCTACCCGAGGTGTCTGGTCGATGGAGGACTTGTCATAAAGGATAAGAAGTTAGCACAATAATAGAGTGCTCGAGAAAATATGGACGCAGTTTTTGAGCTGCGACGATCATAGCAAATGCCAACTTTTCCATGTGTGGGTATCGCATCTCGGCGTGTAACGCTTTGCTCACGAAATAGACAGGGAATTGTTGAAGCCCTTCTTGTCGTATCAAGACTACGCTAACAACATCATCGCTGACTCCCAAGTATAAGTACAACGGCTCATCTGGAACAGGTTTTTGAAGAGTCGGGGATCGAGACAAGGCTTCCTTGATGTCGTTGAAGGCATTATGGCATGCATCAGTCCATTCAAATTGTTTCTTTTTCTTTATCATGACAAAGAACGGTTTGCAGTGATCAGTCGATTTAGAGATGAACCTATTCAATGCTGCCAAGCGGTCAGTTAATGTCTGAACACCTTTAACCAAAGTGGGGGTAGTTAAATCGAGTATGGCCTGGATTTTTGCCGGATTGGCATCAATCCCTCTCTGGCTGACCATGTAGCCTAAGAATTTTCCTGATCCGACACCAAAGGTACATATATTTGGGTTAAGTACCATGGAATAATCTCGGAGTATGTTAAACATGTCGGTAAGATGGGATACATGGTCAGTTGCTCGTTCCGACTTCACTAGCATGTCATCCATGTATACTTCCATAGTGCGCCTAATGAGGTCGGCAAACATCTTATTAACTAGTCTCTGATAGGTGGCCCCAGCGTTCTTTAGCCCAAAAGTCATCATAACATAACAGTGTAGACCTCGTGCTGAGTAAAACGAGGTGTGCTCAGCGTCGTCAGGGTACATGGGAATTTGATTGTAACCGGAATATGCGTCCATGAAACTCATAAGCTCATGCCCGAATGTAGCATCCACCATATAGTCTATGTGGGCAATAGGATAACTATCTTTCGGACAGGCTTTATTGAGATCCGAGAAGTCAATACACAGATGCTATAAACCGTTACTTTTCTTGACCAGCACCGGATTTGATATCCATGTGGGGTATTTGGCTTCTTTGATGAACTTATTGTCAATAAGCTTTATCACTTCTTCTTCCAAGGGTTTTTTACGGTCAGGGCCAAATTTTCTTCGATTCTGGATGACAGGTTTGATAGTTTTGTCAAGGTTGAGTCGGTGGCAAGCCTTTTCAGGATTGATCCCTTTCATATCTTTATGTTTCTAGGTGAACACGTCAGTATTGGATCGAAAAAACTGAATAAATTGCGATCGTATTGGTTCTTGGAGGTTAGCACCGATGCGGAGAGAATTCGTACAAGTCGGATCATCGACGGAAATGGCCTCGACATCTTCAACAGGTTTCGCACGCACATTTGGAATTTTTTCTTTAAACTGTGTTCTGGGATCCATATCATCTTCATTTTGAAGTATCTCTTTTGCTGGTCGTTGTCCTCGGTGTTCCGAGACTTCAATAGGCGAATCCGAGGTCATGGAAACGTCGGATGTATTGTGATTGTCGTCAGGTTCTTCAGAATCAATCACCATGGAAGTTGGTGCATCTATAGGATCTTGGAACTGAGGATCAGAGTGTTAGTTGGATTCAGCCTTGTAGGAATTACGGGCAGTCAGACCTAAGACGAGCTCTCGCGCTTCTCGTTGATCGCCGTAATAAGTTTCTTCCCCTTCAGCAGTGGGAAACTTCATAGAATAGTGGAAAATAGATATCGCAACACGAAGTTTATAAAGGGCAGTACGTCCTACATTGGCATTATATTCATTTTGAATATCCATAACTTTGAAGGTTTTCATGATGATTTTGGACTTCGGTCCAAAGCCTCCGAAACGAATGGGTAGTTGAATTTCACCTACTGGACAGGCAATACTTCTATTGAACCCTTGAATTTTATCATTGAAAGGCCGCAAGTCGGCAGGATCTAGTCCCATCTTTTCAAAAGCTCTTAGCATAAGAATGATAGGATAAGCTACAGTGTCAACCATAATCCGGTGAACAAAAATTCCCCCGATTGGGGCTGTGATAATAAGAGCATCGGAATGTGGATGGGCAAAAGGCTCGCATCTTCAATATTAAAGGTGATGGGACAATTTCTGGCGTTAATGGTATCTCGGAGATCAACATTTAATATGCATTTGCCGGCATTTTGGGCTTCTCGAACATGGGCTTTAAGTTGACGTCGGGAAACGTCAGGTTTTTTGACATTTGTGTTGATCTGAGGTACAGAATCATGAGTAGAAGTCTTCGATGACAAACATGTCTTCAATTTTTTGTTCTCGGGTAATGAGGTCTTAGATGTATTTGACGAGAAGGTGAACACCTCTTTGTCGGTAGCTCGAGGTTTCTTCATATTTACACCTCGGTCGTCGTTATCCTCATCATCAGAAGTGTCAATTTGTCTCCCTTTTTCGCCTGATGTCGGTACTCCAGAATCTTTGGAGTTGGGGCTTCCCGATCAGTCGGAGAAGAGTTGAGAATAAACCGAGACACTCATTTGTATTGTGTCCCGGTGACTTGTGATATGCGCAATACCTTGACTTATCAAGCTTATCTTCAGAAGTCCGAACATGCTTTGGATCAGGGATAATACCTTTTCCTTTCAACTCTTCAAAGATGGTGGCGGCCCCGGTAGAGTAAACGACTTGATAACCTGTCCTCACGAACTCGGCGTACTGATCTCGGGCCGCCCTCGATTCGGGAGTATTGAAGTTCGCACGGGAATAACCTCAGAATTGAGATTTGCCGGAATTACCCGAGAAATTCTTTCTATTCTTCTTCTTCTCAGATTCCAGTTTTACCTCCTTAGCAGTGAAGTCAAAGTTAGGAACCGACATGGATTCCTCGGCTATGATAAATTGTTGAGCCCGCACAAGAAACTCCTGAAAAGTACTCAGTTTGTTCTGGCATAAAGTCCATCGAAACACATAATTGGGTTTTAAACCGGCGATGGTGGTTACAAGTAATGTCTCAGGATGGCAAGGTTCTATGTTTTGAATGCGTTCATTAAACCGAAATACGAATCTTTAACACTTTCATCGTCTTCCTGGAAGATATTAGTAATCGATTCCTTTGGAATTAAGCAAACCTGGGCGCCGATGAAATGAGATTGAAAAGCAGTCCTCAGTTGTTGCCACTTCCAAATCGAATGAGATGGTAAGGCGTAATACCATTTTTGTGCTCGCGGCCCCAACGTAAGCGAGAACATACGACAACGTAGAGCATCTGACGCACCATGCAAATCCATCCTTGATGTATAATGACCTAAATCAGCATCTGGGTCGGAAGTTCCATCGTAGAGACCTATTTGAGGAATTTTGACTTTAGCGGGAAGGACTTCAGCAGTAAGCTCAGGAGCTAAGGGGGAACCAGCTTCTATAACCACGTTACCCGAGGTGGAGTGATGCCAAGGTGAATCTTCATGTGATCTTTGTCTCACCTCCAATTCAGCAAGTATCCTGCGCAATGCTTCAAGCTCTTTCGATCCCTGTCGAAGGACGCGAATCCTTTCAATTTGTTGACGTAGATCCTCTTGATTTGCAGGTCGTAATGGTTCAAGCCTTGATGGCACAAGGGCTCTATGCGGTTGAGCAGAATGACTTTCAGCTGCCCCTTCTTGATTCCTGGCCGTTATTGGATCCAGGACTTCAGGTGGTTGACCATCCGGGAATAGGGGTACTTCTTCTCGATGAGGAGAGTGATGGCGGCGGTGAGGAGAATCATGACGCGGGTGAGACGTAGCATGTGAGGTCGTAGCACGTGCAGGTGGATTTTGAGCATAAACCTTCGGTTGATGTACAGCCGGTGTTGGGAACGTAGACTGATCTTGAGGAGCAACCGACACCCCAGGAAGTGCACGTGCCATGAGAGATGAAAAACCTTTAATAAAGTCGGGATTTTGAAATAAATTCGTATAATCCGGCATAGTAGATGTTCGCGCATCGCGTCCGAGAGATTGATTAGTATTATGACTTTGCACGGCATGCGAAGTTCATTCTTGTCTGGATTGAGACATTATGTCGACAGCTAGTGACGTTTCTTGACAACTTATAAGCGGATGTTAGCTCCAAAGGTGAAGGTCAACCTCAAATATTTATGTGGCCCTTCTTCTAGCGCCAAACTGTTGTTAAACGAGATTTAACAACGGTGATTACGTCATGAAATCACACTAAAATTAAGAATTATGGGGATTATTAACGTGAAGGATGTCGATAAAGATTTTGAAAGACATTAATAGGTATAAAAGCATATGTATATTATTGAATTTCTCCAGAAGTTAATCCTCTCTTTATAAATGAGCAAAAATGCTATTTATAGGACGGTTGACCCACGGTACGAGGTAGGTGTGATCGCATTTTATGTAAAGTAGCTTTTGGAAGGCGGGTGTCCGCCAGCTGGACAACAGTCATGATGACTGGATGAGTCATCGCCGCCTCAAGACTTTGAAAGTCAACTTCTAAAGACCTCGGTTGAAGGAGTTTTTTGTCGTCCATAGACCTCGGTTGACATAGCACGATGGTCAGGTGATGATTTGGAAGCCAAAGACCGATCTCGATTTTTACCCTTTTCGAGACTGGGGTGTATGTACTTTATTGGAACTATAATTAGCGTAGAATTACTATCTTAATCGCTCCTTCTCCGACAATTACAAGAAAATTATGTCAACAAGTCTCAATTAAAAATCCGTAACTTAAAATCGAAAAGCTATTAAGGCCCAGTTTGGTAATCAGCTGTTAGTTGATTGTATTAGCTGTATTGACCAGCAAATTGAATTAGTTGTTTGACCAGCTGATCGTGTTAGCGGTTTGTAAATGAAACTTAAAAAATTGAAGATTTATTTTCGCATTTTTTTATTAATTAGTAAAGTAATAAGGACGACTATAATATAATTAAGGGCAATTGAGACTTTTTAATTTTTACATAATGAAAAGCTAAATCTAAACGTTGCTCTAAGCAGCATTTTTTAAAATTGGCGGATTATCCCAAAAAGCTATTTGTAATAGCTATTTACCAAAAAAGAAAGTGTTTGTTAAAAACACTTCAATCTGGTGGTCAAAACATCTAGTACAATCAGCTGGTAAAAACACGATCAACTGATCAAAACAACTAATTTAATTTGTTGGTCAAAACAATTAATACAATCAGCTAATTAAAAAAGTCAAACAACTAAAATAGATGAAAATGTTCTTTTGGCATGAAAAAACTAAAAAACAAACGGGCCAGTCTCTTCAAAATCTCTTTATGAAAATCCAAAGACCCAATTAAAAATCGTAACACAGAATTTGCACTCTCACCGAATTCCTTCGCACTCACACATAAATTCGCACTCAGTTCAAACTCAGAGTCGTAGATTGATGGCTTCGAATTTGCACTCTCAGTCTCAGTAATTTTAGGGAAATTTCGGGCATCAAATTGAGTAACTCGTACTCTCAGTCTTACAACTTTCCGGGCATCAAGTCAGATTTGCGATCTTCCTTTCCACGGAGACCTAGCGGCTAGCATCTCCCAGGCTTGCGCTTTTATCAGCTGGCCGAGCAGCGTAATAAGGGTTCGGTTGCTACGCCCGGAGGTGCATTTTTTCGTTTCCTTACAATTTTTTTAATTTTTTTCCTAATGGATTACTTGTTGGGTAGAAATATGCATTACTTTTTTTTTTTTTTTGTGATCTTGATAGCTAATACTTTGCGCGTTAGCGTGATTTGTTCGGTATCTATCTATACTGTGTCAAGTTTGGAAGTCTAGCTTGAGTCTAATGGAATACATGTGGTAATATGTCATAGTCCATGAAATTTACATTTGAGAAAAAGTGACGAATGATAGAAAAGGCCAAGGTGAACAAGAAAAGCAAGAAGAATATGAAATTTGTGGTATGCTTTTTGTGCAAGATACAACCTTTTTTGTTTACTAGCCTTTTCGACTCACAAAAGATTTTTATGAGAAGAATCTAGAATTCTTGATAGGATTTCTCATTACTCAAATCAAATTTGCCTGCCTTTCTACCCATATTATTATGTAGTGCTTGCTGGCTAATGTTTACCAAATTTTGATTGTTTCTCCAATGGGTTCGGCTAGTGTTTATGTCATATGATTGATCATGTAAATCCTTTGATAGGGATCCCTTTTATTGTAAATTTCCATACAAGGATAATGTTGTTATCACAACAAATCTAGTGTATCTCGTTTGGATGATTATAGTTTCATTTTCCTTCTTCACCAGAGTTGGGATGATGTACAATTTCCGAAGTCGTGATTTTCATTCTCCTTCCTATTGTTTTCTGATAAGCTATATGTTTGTTAGGATACCAGTCCTTTAAGCTTGATCTGATGTACTGAAAGTATACCTAAAATTTTGGAAGCTATGTGCTTATGGAGAGGGATGAATACCAAATATTAATGATTACTTAATGTCTATGTGTAGTATTATTGTTAAATTTGATTTTCTTGCTCTTTCTATGTACATATATTTTATGTCATAAATTTGGACATTAGGTTGAAAGTTATGGTTGTATGATGAGGATCCTAACCCTTTCTGGGTGAACATGTAAAATTCATGAAAAGGTGCCTTAAAAGAATTGCAATTATCTGTTTTCTTTTTTATTCTTAAGTCAAATGAGTGCTTTAATACATTGCTTCTTCATTCTGCATGGCGTCGTCCCATATATTTGTTAATATATTTGTCTTTCGTTTACTCTCAAACTCATGTAGCTTAATGTGTTTCCAGAGGGTCTGGAGATATGATTATTGGTTTGTTCTTTATACCATGCTAATGTGTCTTTTGTTTATGAAGAATTAAACTACAAATCAACAATTCGATTGCATGGATTTACCCTAGTATATTTTTTGGTCATTTTGTTCAAGAAACCATTGCAATGCTGATTTTTTGGTCATTTGTTGATCAATCGTTGATGTTTTTCTTAGATATACTATTTCTTTAAGCATGTCCTCTATTTTATAGGTTGTTACTTCTTTCTTGTGATGGACATTGCACTTGGGGAAAAATGTAATATGTCAAGTTGATATGTTCTGCTTATGATCGAATGAATTATTAATGTTTTTTTATAGGTACATTTTGATTTACCTTCAAGGCTGTGATGTCTGCAATCACCTCTCGTTGTTTCTTTGTGTTGCAAATCATGACAAGCTTCTTCCAGCTATGAAACATTGAATTGTTGATGATCGGATGACATCAGCACTTTGTTATGCAGCTTGTCACATGGTAATTGATGTTATGAAAAATGGTGCTCGCTGTTGATAATTAAAGCTGGTGTATCATCTACAAATGATTCTCTTTGACGTTGGTTGACCCTGGTGTTATTTTCCGCACATGTTTCTAATGGTTTCGTGATACTTCCTATCCTTAATATTTGAATCAAATAATAATCAGTTGCACCACATAACTTTCAACTTCTGCACTTATAACTAAGGCATCATTGTGTTGGAGCAGGATATCCACGGAGTCTTCTGGTCCAAAACTTAGAGTAACCTCGGGTGGGCCTCTGTAGACGTCGACCAATTCCTCCTCCCACACGATGCAGGTCCACATGGATGGCCCGTGTTGATTTTCTTGGTGAAGGAAAGTGTGGCACTGCAGGAAGGGAACATGAGAGAGGTTAGAGACTTTGAGGTTCTCTACAACCAGGCTGCGGGCGAGGCCCGCTGCATCTGCGGCTGTTTCAACTTCTACAGGTATTTATGTCGGCACGCGCGTGTGTATATCGAACTTTAACGGGGTTGAGGAGATTCCGCAAGGTATACTCTGTCAAGCTGGAAAAAAGATTACAAACGGTTGTATGTTTCGGATCACGGGTCGTCGGGTGGTTGTGATACTCTGGGTCGGGCCGAGTGGATGGACCAGCTGTACCGAAGCACGCTGCAGGTTGTGGAGGAAGGGGTGATCTCGTTGGATCATTATAAGATGGCGTTGAGAGCATTCGAGGAATCTTTGGAAAGAGTTCACGGAGTCTAGGGAAAATTTGTATAGGTATCTTTTATTAGGAACTATTGTGTGAGTTCTGTAGTTCTGAATTTCTGATGAGGTTGTAAACCTCTCTGTATGATAGTGTTACATTACAAATTGAAGAACAACAGAGTATCTGCCTTGGGCCCTATTATATACTTCAGAATTTGGCT